AAGCCCCCGTAGTTAATTACATCTCAAGCCGATGCCTAAGACTCTCGATTAAGGATCCTACATTATCCCCTTAAATGGGATTGACACATAGAGGAAAGACTAGAAAGTCCTACTTAAAGGGAAAGAAGGGTTCAAAGTGACTTAATAAATATATGCATCTCAGATCCACATCAAGAGGGACTAAGGTAGTGAGAAGAAACTAGATAAAAGAAAGCAATGCACTCAAAGCATACATGAGAGAAGGAGGAAAGTGACATCATCCATGTGACACAGATATGTAGGATTTATAACCTCTAAAAAATAGGAGACCTGTCCATCGACAAGGCATACTATGAGGCACTAAATATAGTAGCCTTGAACTCTAAATCTAAAGTGGGCTTAGTATTCTATACATAATACTAACACTAGTATCCTAGCTAATATATTATATACTTATATCCTGTCTTAAAAGAAAAGCCAACTAATCAGCTAAGCACATAAAATTTATGTTGTCCAATCTTTATGAAAGAGGGGTAGGAGAGAGTTTTTGAAAGTAAGACTGATGTCTATAGAGTTTTCTAATTGGTCTTGGACTTGTATAGGGTAGATGCTCCTAGAGCTAATACAATTAGATTTCAATTTAATTAGTTTCTAATACAATACATGCTAGTTGAAGGCTTTAAATCATGAATGCTTGAAACTTAAAAAAGGATTAAAAAATAGTTTTTTTTAGAAAGACTAGACTTCCCTAGATCAGCACCTCATTCTTATAGGTCGGATTGTATAGACTCTACCTGTAGGCGGGGAAGTGTCTTAAAGAAGGAGAGAGAGAGAGAGAAATGCATTAATATACATGCGACCCCGAATAATTCAGGATATTCTCTAGATAATTAAGTTTATGCGTTATTTAATTCTTAAATTTTAGATATTAGTTACGATTAGAAAAAATAATTATTCCTAAAGAGCCTAGCAAAATCAGGCTACACACATAGAAAAAAGAAACATATAAAAAACTTATAATTTTTATGTCACAAAGAATAGTAAACACTTCAACATAAATAAAACCAGACAGAGTAAAAAAAAGTCCATGACAAGTGTCATATATAATATAACCAGGATATGCATGAAAGTAATGGTGGTCCAGCCCTACTGATAATAACCTGAATTCTAATTTTACTGAATGATGCAAATCTTTAAAGTAAGGCTTTTTATCTTCAAGTCTTCATTTTCATGTCTTCGGATCGTCTTCCTTTAGATCATATTCCTTCAGTCTTCGTATGGTTCATCCTTCAAAAGGGTACTCAAATGAATAAGAAATTCCATGTGATGTGCCTTTCTTTTTCTCTTTATGTACCGAGTGTTTGAAATGTCCTACTTTTAGAGACTTTTACAACTTGATACTTTTACAAATTACATTAAATTATATCATTTGAAAAAAAGAAAATATAGACTCTTGTGCATGGTTATCCTAATAGAAAATCTCAAGCAATTAATATATAATATCTCAAGCTGTTTATATATATATAAAAGTAAACACATTTGACCACACTCTTTTCATTTAAAGGGGGACTTAGCAATCTCTAAAGCATCTGCAAAAATTATTATTAGTTTTAAAGCTTAATGATTTTTGTCCCCTTTAATCAATACCATGTATGAACATGGCTACCTACATAAGATTGAATTAGTATGAATCATTCTTAGCCTAGAGATAGATCTAACGCATAATTAATCACATCATAGATAAAGTGCAGTATAATAATAAAATAAATAATCATAGTAAATCAAATTAATCAGCACATGTGTCACATGTAGAGTGCCACAACACAAAAAACAAAAAAGGTAAATCATCGACTTAACTTAGAGCTAGAAGTGGTGCCCAAGTAAATAATTATATGTGTGTGTAGAAGGCTGTGTGGGTTGTGCTAGGTCTTATGTCGAGTAGTTAGTGCAAGTTACTTAGTGTTCAGGTTAGATGAAGGCTAAGTAAAGAATTTTGATTAAGATTTAAATATTAATGATCTGGGATCTATTTTAGTTAATTAAGTTAGTTATTAATTTTTAATGCTTAGGATAATATTATTTGAATTTTAAGTTGGATTAATAAATTTTAGGAGGTCCAGGGTCAACCCGCCCGCTAAGTTAAGACGATCCAAAAAGTGACTTTTAGAAATAAGTAAGTTTTTAGGGTTCCAACATTTTTATTAAATATTCAATATTACAATGAGTAATTACACTTTGAGATTTTGGATTTAGAGTTTTTCAAGTAAAGTTATGAATTTTAGAAATTTTGGGCCTTAGTTAATGAACTACGGTTGACGGGAGAGTTAACTTTTTAATTTAGAGTGATTTCTAGAAAAAGAATATTTTTTAATAAATTTTAAATTTTAATTGGATTTGAATGCCTTTTAGTTTGCCCAATTTAGATTTTTCTGAAATTAATTATGAATTTTCAAAGTTGGGATAATTAATGAACTATCAAAATTATTTAATTAAGAGTATTTTAAGGGTTTTGATTCAAATCAGCTCCAAACTACTTAGAATCACTCCTAAAGGTCAGAAATAACCTAAAAAGATATTTCAAACTATTTGGAGAAAATTTTAGAATTTTTAATAAATTTCATTATTTAATTTAATAAAAAAGGTGATTTTTAGTTAAAATTAAATAAAGGTTCATATGAAGTCTAATTAATGGGATATTAATTTTTTTAGATTAAGGATTGAATTCTAAAGAATTTGATATATTATGGGTTATTTTGGATTTAATTTGAATTGATTAGAATTTTAATTTTATGAAGTTATCGGGACTTAATTAAGAGGGTTAAGTTAGAGTTTGTTAATTAAAGGGTTTAAAGTATCCTAAAAAATTCTAGAAAATTTTGAGAGGTTTATAATGTCATTAAGTTCAATTATTTAAAGTTTCATATCAATCAGAGATCTACCCTTGCTCCTAATTTTTTTTAAGTTTTCTAGACGGGTCCTTAATTATTATCCTTAGGATGTCAGTACGTTAAGTAAGTTTAAATCCAATGTTAATGACTAACCTTTGGGATAACATAAAAGGGAATGCATCAAACATAAGCAAATCATATTATTAGATTTAGGAGAGCCTAAGCTAAATGCTCATGCATTCTTCACATGCAAAAGACGATAAAATAAATAATTAATCATGCTTATCGATGTGAATAAAAAATGATTGGAACTCAATCACTAACTACTTATAGAAACATTAACAATTTAAAAAGAAATAAGTTAAATAGATCTTTAACAAAAATTAATAGTCAAAATACTGGCCGTTCAAAACTACGAGTGGTACTACGATGTTGAAGCCAGGCGGGTGACTTAAAATAATAATAATAATAATAATAATAATAATAATAATAATAATAATGATGATGATAATAATAATAATAATAATAATAATAATAATAATAATAATAATAATAATAATAATAATAATAATAATAATAATAATAATAATAATAATAATAATAATAATAATAATAATAATAATAATAATAATAATAATAATAATAATAATAATAATAATAATAAT